CACGACGCTCTTCCGATCTCCAATTATTAAAGTTCAAGGTATTGAAATCACAGTAAGTGACTTAGCAATTCAATTTGGAAGAAATTATAAAGGACAATTAGCTGCTGTTGTTTTATTTGCCGTTGCTAATGAACATGGAAATGTATTAAGAGATGGATGGAAATATGTATGTTTATGATTGGTTACATACCGTTATGTAATAATATATTTTTTTTTGGATTAAAAAGTTATTAAATGAAATGTCTTATTTAAACAAATATATATATAGATTTTAGAAATTATAAAGAATCTTTTTGTAAATTCATTATTACCAAGTTCAATGATACAAGTGGAGGATTTTTTGGCCGGTACAACAACAATTCCGCTTAAACCAAAAACCACCAATACATTTCCAAAGCAAGAAAGACGTGACAATTCTTTATTATCGGCATTATCATCTTATTTATTATCACCATATTCAAGTAATTACGAATCTTCAAGAAGTGCACCTACAGAAGAAGAAATAGAATGTACCATGTGTACAGTTGACTGTGTTAAAGCATGTCACTTGGATGACATATTTGCTGATATAAGGTTTGTTTACAATAAATAAATAAATAAATCATATATGATGTCATATTAATATATATTTTTAAAATGTATATATATTATAATGATAATGTTATTTTTGATTTATATATATATAGAACTTTAGGACAAGAATCACTCGAAAATCTTATGAAGGCACTTAAATTTATTGCAGATGGAAATACAACAACAAAAACCAGTAATAATAATAATACCACCACTACTAAATTATCTTATCCACCAACACCTCATACCACATACTCACAACGACAGTCACCGAAAAGCAGTTCCTATGATCCTGCTGCTGTATTCTTTCTTGAACTAATGATAAATGTTACATTACAAAATCGAGATAGAATTCAATATTTATGGTATGTAATTTATTACGATTTATTTATTAGTTTATTAATTTATTTTTTAAAATAAAAATTATAATTATTTGCATATATCATTGATTGATCATTTAGGCCAATTCTATTTGGACATATAACCGATATTTTAAAAGAATCTCAAAATAATAGTATTCTGTTAGTTGAGAGAACAGTTGTTGCATTGCTTAGATTGTGTATTCGTCTGACACATAAAGATGAAATGGTATTTGATATCTTGCTAGCATTAGAACTATTAGCGACATTACCACATGACGTAATAAATTCTGTTGGTGAACAAATGATGGCAGGAATATTAAATATCATTAAATCAGATCCATCATGTATCAAAGGCAAAAGGCCATGGGAATCAGTATTCAAATTACTTAGAGCAACATCAACACATCCGCAAGCATCTAAATATTCATTTGACGTCATTACATTTTTGATTAAAGAAAAGAAAAGTATCAATCTTGATAATTTTAATGATTGTGTAGAACTTTTGGCAGAATTTGCTTCAGCTGCTACATTTCCAATAGACCAACAAGATCAACAGTTTACTGAATTATCAAATCCAAAGAATTTAAGAGCTAACCTTACCAAAACGTAAGCAGTCTTTTTGTTTGTTTTTTTTTTAATCAATGAAAAATAATTTTTTAAAAAAATAATTAATAATAATAATAATAATAATAATAATAATAATAATAATAAATAATAAATAATAATTCTTTATGTACAAAAAAAAAAGCCAATCAGCTATTATAGATAGAGCAAAAGAAGCAGTTGTATTGATGAATATGTTGTATATGGAAATACCAAACTTACTAAGTGAAACTGGGAAATCTCCAAGAGAAGCATGGTCAAATTATTGGTTACCAATATTAACTGGATTTAGTCAACAATGTTATAGTCCATGTCTTGAAGTTAGACAAAATGCGATATCATGTTTGCAACGATCGCTTTTAAATCCACAACTTGTATCACATGGTGGTACAGAATGGGTATTGGTATTTGATCTTGTGCTGTTCCCATTGTTGGATCAACTATTAAAACCAGAAATCTATCAAGCCGATCCAGTTGGTATTGACGAGTCTAGAATAAGAGCATCGGCTCTATTATGTAAAATATTTTTACATTATTTGAATAGATTGATTGAATGGGGTGGATTGATTACATTGTGGTCTCAAGTTTTAGATGTAATGGAGAAATATATGTTTACAGGCGATAATGATTCATTGGTATGTGCAGTGTTATGCATTTAACAACAATAGTAGTAATCATTATTATAATGCCAAAATTTATTAAATTATTTCTATTTTTAGAGAGAAGCAGTTCCCGAATCATTAAAGAATATGTTATTGGTAATGTTAACTTCTGGTGTTTTGATTCCTCCAGGATCATCGTCATTAAAAAATGGAAATAATAAGCTTAATGAAAAAGCATCAATTGAGATATGGGAAATTACATGGATAAAAATTAATAAATTTTTACCAAATCTTAAAATAGAATTAAATTTAAATTAGATCATTTAGATTCGTATTTTACACTTATTATAGGTTTATTATTTATTTACTTATTTATTTATTCAAAATAAATTTGGTTTTAGGTGGTTTCATATTTATTTTTGTATTAGTGTGTATGTATTATTAGTTTGATTCGAAATTGAAAATGCTGTTATAAAATTAAAATATGATTTTTATATTTAGGTTTTTCTTTATTTATTTTTTAGCTTATGTTTGATGATGATGTTATATGTTATAGTGTACTATTAGAACTATCTAAACTACCATCAGAGGTATCTAGACTAATTTTATTAATTGTATTAGTGTCATTATTATTAATATCCTTATTATCATTATTATTATTATTAAAATTATTATTATTATTAATGTTGATAACAGTTTCAGATGTTACAGTATCACTAATACTACTATCAAGAATGTTCATATTTCGATTATTTGTATTTTTTGGAGTGGCATAAATCTCAATTTTTCCAATCAAATTCAAAATGTAATTTGGTGGCGGTAAAGACTGATTTAGAATTAAAACTGTTCGATGAATGTAATCGATGGCTTTTGAATTAGGTCCACGAAATATCTTTGGTGTCTCGAATCCTTTTGTGAACATATATATCATAAAAGATAAATAGGAAACACTGATTAAACTCGTCACAAGCAAATACCAAATTCCTACAGCAGAATTCCTCGGATTTATTGTTGAAATTTGTCTTTTTGAAAATATTCTAAACTTTATGATTGGTTTAAACGTGTAGAAAAATGCCAATGTCAATAGTATCCAACCTAAGACTATGTCTGCCATATAGATGATTTCTTTTGCTGCTGTTTCATAAGGACTGTTGTTGTCGTGTATAGTGAAAGCTACTTGAGATATTCCTCCCATACCAAATATGACGCACGCCCCGATAATTACTTTAAAAAATAATGTATTTCTTTGATTTGGTGGATAAAATTTCTTTCCAATATCAAGAAAACACCAAACGACTATATATGTGTGCGTTTATGTGTAATAATAATGATCAATATTAATTTTTTTTAATAAAAATTTTTTAAATAAAAACATTAAAAAAGTATACGCACGCACCTACAAAAATGAACAACTCGAAAACAATCAAATTGAATAAATAATGAAAAAATTTATTTTCGCAATCATAAATTTCCCATAAAAGATTTGTGCCCGATGCAAGTGTGGTGGCTACTGATGTTAAAAATCTAATAATAAATTAATTGGAAATTAAAATTTTTATATTTTTTTTAAAAAGTTTAATTTCAAGAAACTTACAAGGAAATTCTCAATTTTGTTAATTTTTGAAATATGTAAAATCCAATTGTTATTGTGGCAACGCACGAGAATGATAAGGCCGCTAAAGGAAGAAGTACATTATCACCTTTACATAAGAAATCGACACTATTTGGGTCTTGATCACTCATTTATTATTTGTTATATACGAAGATTATTTTATCTGATAAAATTTCTATTTTTTAAAAATTTTTCCAAAAGATACATAATCTATATTTGCGTGTGCTGTATACGTGCGCGTGTATGTATAAATAATATTTTTCTGGATTTTCGCTTCGACTATCTATCTATCTATCTATCTATATATCTATATATATATATATATATTTAAAATTGAGAATAAATTTATCTTAAAAAAAAACGGGCAGATATATTTATACGATATTTATTAGGTACTAGAACTTGATATTAATATGTATTATATGAATTTCCGTTCTATAAGCATAAGAGAATAATGTAACAAATATAAATTTTAGTCATATATATATAAATAATGACGAAATCGTTGATTATTGGTTACAATTAATTATTATTATATGTGTATAAATGATGATGGCTTATTACATTATGATTATGCTAGAAAGAGGGTTTAGGTTTTTGATTTGGATAATTTATTTTTTATCACAACCATTTGCTCGTCTACCCAATTGACTAAAATTTAATTACTTACTCTTTAAACAATGGATTAAAAAGATCACTAACCGTTAATATCAATTCATAATTATTTTTTTGGGGAGGGGTTTTTTTAAAATAAGTGCTAAAATATTAGTAGTCAAGTCAAGATTAATAATAATAACGAATGGAGTTTTCTACCAATCCTCCTTTTTCGATTTGTTGTTTATCATTAAAGGAAAAATCTTGGGTTATTTATATTTACTGTTTATATATTATATGCTGCAAATCACTATTTGTTACAAAAAAAAAAAAAAAAAAAAAAGTTTTACATCGAATTGTTTATTTGTTTTCTTATGTGCGGATTTTCTCAAACATATCGAGATTGCATCTAGGTGTCGTTATCGTGCTTTACAACATTATCCAACAGTCCGTGCTTTATTTCATACAAAACTTAAAAAAAAAATTTGTTTCATACGCAAAAACCATTATAACGTTGATGTCAATGAAACAAAAAAATATGCATCGCAATGAATTTTTAATTTAATTTTGCATATTTGCATTTTAATATTAATATAAATATGATTACGGAAATTTTTTCTGTTATTATTATATACAATAAAAAAGGAAACCATTCTCCATAAATAAAAAGCTAACTATCAAGAAGAAATGAAAAGAGTTTGAAGTAATTGGTAAAAAGTGGAATTAATTAATTAATAAAACAATATGTTATGTATGATTAATAATAATAATAATAAAAAAAATTCATTGATTAAACTCTCTCATCATATTGACACTCTTTTTGTCTCCATCTTCTTCAAAATATTAATGATTGTTTAGATATAATTTGTATTATAAATTTCCCTTCTATTTTCTAGATTCATAAGATCATGTAATATCAATACCAATGAAAACCTCGAACCTCGTTATAACAAAGTTAAGTGCGCGTTGTAACGAATTTTAAAATTTTTTATGACGCGGCTAGTAATTTTCGTTATAATAATAATAGTAGATGTGCGACTTGATTGGGATATGTTTAAAGCCTTTAAAATGTCTAAATAGAGAGAGAGCGAAATCCTATATACTATTATTAAAATTTCGGAAATTTTGGGAATCGACCACTTTCCGGCTACACAAAGTGTCATAAGCTGATTTATGTAAGAAGTGCACTTTTATTGGAAAGTAAATAAATAATAATAACCCACACATTCAATTTCCTACACTTGTAAATTTTTAATATTAAATAAAAATTTACGGGCATTCCCATATTTTCCTTGTCAAGGAGTATTGATGCGAAAAAAAAAAAAAAAAACCAATCGTATATATGGCATAGTCGAATCTAATTGTCTATACTTGGACATTGTCAAATTATATGCCCATCCATCTATTACTATGGATTTAAATGTCTAAAATTGTTATAGAGAGAGTTCATTATAACGAGGTTCGACTGTATATTAATCCTTACACGTAATAGTAAGTTACCAAAAGTATACTAACACGAAAATCTCTGGACCTAGGAATTCACATCAAACTTGTAGCAAAACTTGATTTTATTCACGTTCGACGAGATTTAGAAATTATACGATAATAATAAGTAATAAATATAAAGTTAAGCTTTCTTTTTACGAAAAAAAAAAAAATTTTTTTTTGCAACACAAATTGATATAAATATCACTAGAGATTGCTTTAAAAAATATCACACAAAACTCGATTATAATATATAAATATGGAAGACGATTAGATAAAATAAAATAACTCACAAGTAATCGATCACATGCTCGAAATGCTTTCAATTTTTTTGATAAAAAAACAATCATAAAAGTCAAGCAAAAGTTAATAAGATCAAGAAATTCCAAAATGAAATAAATATAAATTATACACAAATTCATCATATGCTGTCAAAACATTTTATTATTATAATTTTTTTTTTTTTTTTACATAAGAAAATTTTCTTCAAGCTTATGATAGATAAATTATAGATTTATTAAATTTATGCTTAATTCCTTAGTATGATATTTAAATCAAATTTCAAATTAAGTTTAGTTTTCAAAAGAGAATAATTTTTATGTAACTTTTTTTTGACCGATAAATCGAAAAGTATCAAAAGTTGTTTTGTAAAGATTTGCTTCGTTTAAATAGTTTTCTAACACTGTTTTTAATCTAGAATCATCATCGTCATTATTATTTGATTTAATATTATTTTTAACAATACCACTACGGCCACCAATGATGCTTCCTTTGCGTTGTTGCCGGTTATTATTAAACACGGGATTACTATCATTGCAGCTTAATATTTCATTGATGATCGAGCTTGAACTTGAATTTTGTTGGCTCAATATAAATCCCATATGTTTTAAAAAACCATCACGCAACACAATCGCACCGGCTTCACCAACTTTTCCAGCCCAACTTCCGCAAGGTACACGTTTAACAAAACTTTCAATGTTAATCAATAAATTAGTATTTCTCATAAATTCTTCTATTCGTTGGTGAATATTTGTATTTATGTTAAATGTTCTGATTTTAGTCACAACTAAATGGGTGGGTGGATGAATGAATAAAAAATGAGAATTTTTCTTTTAAATAATAATAAATAAATGTAGAATATTACTTGTATCATTAATTTTTTTTGTTAATGGGCCCATGTTACATAATTCTATGTTAGGTTCCATTAGCTTTATATTTTTTTAATAACAACAAAAATTTGTATTAATTATATAGTAATAATAATAATAATAATAATAATAATAATAATAATAATAATAGTAATAGTAATAGTAATAGTAATAATGATGATGATGATTCACCTCGAGCCACCCGTTTGACTTTAAAACTCTTACTAACTCTATAAAAGAAAATTAATATTTTAAAATTGAATAAAAATTTTTTATTTTTAACATAAAGAAAAAATACCTTTGACCACAAAAGATTCCCATTGATGTTCTGTGAACTCCAGTATCTTAAATCTCATAAGAACAAAATCAAAGGTGTTGTCCTCGAATGGTAACCCTTGAAGAAAATTGCATTTGATAAATTCAACATTTGAAGGTCTAGTTTCAGTAATCAACTCAAGATTATCTACACCAGTATATCTACATTTCGGATAATCCGACGACATTTCACATAACCAACTGCCCGGCCCACAACTATTATTGTTATTATTATTGTTTCATTATTATTAGATAATAATAAACTTTACGTAAACAATAACACAAAAATAAAATATTATGTAAACATTATTTTTTTTTGTGAATTGTTACCTTACTTGAAGAACCTTTAATTGTTCATTCCTCAATTTTTCTTTAATGGGCGAAGAAAAATTTCCATTCCATACTTCACGTATTAAATGATGTTGGATATTCATTTGATCAATCTCACCTTCATCCGCTTGATAATCCCTAACACAATTAACATTGTTACTACCACTGCTCGTACTATTACTTTTTCCATTATTGTTATATGATATCCTGAACTTCCATTTTTTTGAGTGGGCTGCTCCCATAATTATTATTTTTGTTTATTAGAAGTTTTTTTTTAAAAATAAATATTGTCATAAAATATAATAACTATTATATCTATTATTATTCGTGATTGATTTAGAGAAAAGAAAGAAAGAAAAAAAGGAAGAAGGAAGAAAGAAAGAAAGAAAGAAAGAAAGAAAGAAAGAAAATGCCGTCGTATTTAAATTGTTTTTTGAATTTCTGAATTTCATTCAATGAAAATATTTTAGGAAAATAATTAAACTTTTAAGATTGATTTGATTTGTAGTTTATTGTTATATTAGTAGTAATGATGGTTTTGTTTGTGTTTTTGTTTTTCTCATCATCGTTGTTAGTGAAAATTAAAAAATTAATTCTCCCTTGAAAATGTATATGCAATGTAATTATACTGTAATCTAATTGGTATTTTGATTTTAATTTTTTTTTGCAAATTATTTTAATTATTTAATTATAAGCATCAATATTAAAATGTTTAAAGGAAGACTCGGGGTTTCATTTATTGTTATATAAATTTGTGTAATCAATATTAATAATTTCTTGGTATATATATGTGTGTGTATTAATAAATTTACTTTTATTTGCATAAACATAGAAATCCCTCACCATTTTCAACGGGAACCTGTAGTCAAAAGAATACACATTATTTATTTATCTTATTATTGTCGACGTTTTGAGATCCACGGAACGAATAGTTTTTATGCCCAGGAGGTCGGGTTAGTTAGAGATAATAAAAATGGCAAGCACATAATAACAATAACAATATAGTTATGTATATCTATGCGCTTTTTTTATTGTGAATATTTTATATACATATACATACACACTTACATTCGATAAATTTAATTGTTAACCAAAATTATTCCTATTAGATGTTACACGGATTAAGCTATCGGTCCGGTGACGTGTAACTGTTACATAACAATTACACGATGTTTTGAAACTTACATACGTGAAATTTAAATTAACAATCAAAGGAAATTTCACACGCATCTCCTCAAATTTTCACATATAGCAAATAATCGTGTCCGATTCGGCTCTGGGATTGTCAGTCCTATCTCGGGATAAGTTTCCAGAAAAGTTTATAACAAATAATTCAAGTAATTATTTATTATTATTATAAACTCGCACAAGTCTTTTCTGAGTTTGATACATTTTGAACTGAACTTAATGTATGTTGAATGCTTATTCAATTGATATAATTTTCAGTTTGTATACATCATCCCTCGAACTTAAAGACAATTATAAATCACAATGAGATTTTTACTAATCATTGGTCAGTTATAATTTATTTAAATCATCCCTCAAAAAATCAAGAAATCTTGGGAATTGGAAAAAATTCTGATCCCTAATTACTATTAAAATATTATTATTGCCATTAATGGGAATTAGTATTAGTGTTCAATATCAAAAATCGAAATTTAGAATGTTCGAAATTAATGTCCATAAAAAGAATTACACATTTAATTAAAAAATAATATTGCAATAATCAGCATCTCAAATTGTCATTTCCGAGCTTGCGGTTGATATTGTATCAAGTAGTGGTGTTTGTGAAGATGTCATATAATATTCGGATCATTTGGAGTTTTCGGGATTTTAAATTTAAATGGTATTTTTGAAATATCATGTGATCTACATGTTGGATTTTAACAAAAACAATCACTATCCCAATTCAGACAAATTTTTTTTTCGTTAAATTTTGAGTTGTACAATAATAATTTTGGTGTTACAATATTTTGAGTTACATAACCAAATTTGGTAATGATTTTCTTTTAATAATAAAAAAGAAACAATACTTGAAAAAAAAATTGTTCACAAAATACAAAACTTACTTGGTCTCAATTCTCAAGTGTGTAACAAAATTTGGAATCTAAGGCTCGACCAATTTTTAGTTTAAGAAAAAACTAGCCGACAAGTTTGAAGCTTGAGCCATACAACCAAAACTTAACGGTTAACTTTTTAAATTTTTTTTTAGTATTCTGAAGCTGACCAATTGTTACAATAAGCGATTAATTAACTATAGATGATCCTCACCGTAGTATGGTATACAAACTTTTAATTAATATTGTAGAACTCAAAAACTACCCATAAAAAAATTTTTTAACTCGTAGATTTAGTATTAGATGCTGTTTCTCTAGCTTTTCGAATTTTAGTATTTGTATTAGTAATAATATTAGTAATATTAGTAATATATTTTGCCGCGTAAATCTTAACTAAGAATGGAATAAATCACATAATTATATCTAAATTTGGGCAGATTAAAATATTAACGCGTTTGTGTAATTAAATAATGAAACATAAAAATAATGCCTCTTAGATGACACGAGAACCAGATGTTCATTATTTTTGATTATAATTTTCTAAACTTTGATGCAAGACAATTCCTTAGACGAACAATAATTGGCTCAGAAGATGAATACGAACGAATTAAACGAAGAAGCTAGCAATCCTTTTGAGGATATATGATTGATGATTTTAACTCAGTATTTTCAGTATTTGACAAAATGATGGTAAGCAAATTCTAACTCAAAAAGACCTATTTATTAACTCTAATTACACGAATCACGTGAATTACATCATTCATAGATTAGAATTGAAAATTAAAATTTCTCCTATTAGCGCAGCAATAGGCTTCGTTTGCGGTTATCAACCATACAATTTCATTTTTAAAAGCCAATTATCATGTACATTATCGTATGTCAAGAAATAAATAAAAGTCTTTTCTTGATCAAAGATTGTATGTATGAAAGCATTACTGTTACTCTAAAGGAAAAAATTGTATTAACACATGCTTTTCTGATGCTCTGGTACTAGCTTTTACTTGACGTTTGCTCTTTAGAGTTTACCAGATTTCAATTTTTCTGCATGCATAATTCCACCTCTTTTCAATATTTTAGCATAAGAATTAAGACGGATCATAATACAGTCAAACCTCGCCACAGCGGATTTCGTAAAAAAAAATCCGTTATAACAAGAAATCCGCTGTGTATGTGACAAAATTGGTGATTATTGGCAAAATTTTTTTAATAATAAATGAATAAATAATACATGCGGAAATTAAAATTATTTTGTTTTAATATTTGGTTGTATTGGTTTTTCATTATCTAATAATTTCATTTTTTTTTTTCAAATGATTTAAATTTTTTATAATCTAATTGACTTTATTATGAATCTTTGGGAAAATGATCTTGATTTGTTTTAGTTTTAAAAATTGATAAATAAATCTATCGCTCGCACACATTTGGATAAATAATCTATCAATTGTTTTATTTTAGTAACTTGAAAAATTTTGTTACTCGCATAAATTTGGACAAGTATTCTATCGATTATTTGTTTATTAATTTATTTTAGAAACTTGGAAAAGGTTGTTACTCGCAAATATTCAGTCAAATATAACCTATCAATTGTTTGTTTATTGATTTATTTTAGAGCCTTGGAAAAGGTTGTTACTCGCAAACATTCAGACAAATAACCCATCAATTGTTTGTTTATTGATTTATTTTAGAAAATTTGTTACTCGTAAATATTTGAATAAAATTGTTTGTTGATTAAAATAACCTATTTGGTAATTTAGATAATTTAGATAAAATTTCATAAATTTATATGTCACGTGAATCCGCTGTGATGAGACTAGTAGTCATATTGAAACAAATTTATTAATAAAATCCGTTATGACAAACATTTTAATTAATAAAAAAGGACCAATGTTTAATTCTGTCGTAACAAAAAATCCACTGTGGCGAGGCCCACTGTGATGAAGTTTGATTGCGCCATTGTTATGTAACTGTTTCTTCTTTTGTGTATATGGTCATTTTTCTCCTGCTGGTCTTAGATTTCATTAAAGTTGATGAGGTGTGTTACTTTAGAATTGGATATGATATGTGATGTTAGATTAATAATTGCGCAAATAATATATATGTGTGTGTTGTTAAAAATAAAATGATAAGTAATAATAATAACAATAATACAGTTAGTCCTCTATAAGTGTACCCTGCGTCCAAATCCCAAGCTTGAGACTTAGAGATAAATGTAATCCCTCTATGTTTTGCACTGCACGCTCTTTTCCTGGTCCCGTTCATAAAACCACTCTCTCCAACCGCACTCACGTGACTTTAACGTGACCATACTGCGATATGATTTTTGTGATACACGAATAACTGATGTTTTAGCAATAGTAAAATGATAATTCAAGTAATGAGTAAATAGAGAATCCTTTCTTTTAATATATACAACAATGGTCAATACTTTGTTTTTTTAATAGATGTAAAGGATTATTATTACAATACAGGTAACCCTACATTTTGCTCAATCCATCTAACATGGCCAATTTATTATTTGTGGCAAATAATCAAAATCCATATTTTAAAGTTATTTTACTTATTTGGAAGTTATAAAAGAGAATGAATGATTTAATGATTATAGTGAACAATGATTTAATAATTAAGTATAATGTTAATTTAATACTATTTCGAATTAAAAGATTGATATATATTTATTTTTTAAAGTAATAAGGGTAATTAGATCTTAGTTATTATAATTCCTAATTTCTTTTCCTTTATCTTTATATATAATAATTCCAACTATAAGAGCTTTGACACTACTGAAGATATTGAAGGTGACA